CATTGGGTCCAGATTTTTTGCTTTTCTTTATTGAAGCTGCAGAGAGAATAATTAGGTGCTCCACTATTGGGAGGGATAATGTTAGAGGTAGAGCTAAAACTAAGGGAAACACCAAACAGTCAACAGTTACTACAACGCGCCTCAACTTTTCATCCAAATCAGGATGGATTTAGATGAAAGTATTATACATGTTGTGTTTTCATTGATCTCATTTTCGCAGTAAATCAAAGAACCTACATAATCTGGCCATTTCTATCGACATCAAGAAAAGTTTTGACTGTTCTGATTCTGTCATTGAATGGTGGCCGAACGTAATCTGCATTCTGGATAAAATCAAATTTCCAACATCTTTCTCTACTTTCGTTCGTTCCCACCTCCAGGATAAGGAGATGCAATGACAACAGATGGAGGCATTTATGTCAAAAAATTGCAACATGTTGTCCATAGGAATTGTGCCTTAGTCGGACGCTGTGGAACACAGTCGCAAATTCAGCCTTGGAATGCTTTAATAACATGGCTTAAGGCAAGACTAATTGAGCTGAAGATCTTCTAATGCATGTTTAATAAAATAATGAAGCCTTTAGTTTTTCTTTTAAGTTATTGTCAAAAGTGCGTTGATGTTTTATGTGTAAAATTTTTGTGTGTACTCATTAGTCTGGCATCCTATTATTATTTCCCATAATCGGTCTCTTTTGACGTTTTAACTATTGGTCTTGTGTAGCACTCTGCCTATTTAATGACGACCTCAAATGTGAACACAACTACATATTCGGAAGTAGGGTGAAAGACTAGAATTAAGGAATGTTCTTAGCAACTCGCTTGATACACTTAAGTTATTGGATAAGGAAAATAATAAATGATCTAAATATACAATAATTCGAAACAAAACCAAACAAATACATTTTCATTTAATCTATGCTTAATATATAAGTGCTAAATTATTTTAGTGTATTTAAAAGATACGCTAAAGTAGGCTTCAAAATACGATTAAAAATATAAGACAAACACGGTTTTAATGAAAAGTACTTAAGGGCAGGTTTTACATTTTATTCATACACCAAAATCATCTGTAATGACACTGTAGAGACATTAGCTACTTTTTGAAAGCAGGAAAGATGAAAAATGAACAATGCCAATGGGACTCGAACCACGGACCTCTGGAATACACGTCGAGCATGCTGACCACTACACCACGAAGGCATGCTAAGAAGGCGGGAGAAATACCTTATATACTCCCTCTTTTAAAAGGTGACTGGGGATTAGGGGACCCAATCGCAAATTCTGGTGGTGAAGAATCATCATCCACCAACGTTTTTAGTTCCAACGCCAATGTAGAGACATTATTTATTTATTTATTTTAAAGCAGGGGAGATTAAAAGTGAGCAATGCCCTCGCCGAGACTCAAAACACGGACCTTTCGAATACGTGCTGAGCGTGCTATTCACTACACCACGAAGGCATACAAAGAAAGCGGGAAAAATACCTCATAACTTTGATTTTTGTGTATGGCGACCTTTGAGCTGTAAGGGAATTTTGATGCGTCGTGCAAGTAATAAGGACAAAACAAGATATCTAATGGCAATTTACTAAGTTTGTTAAAGCTGTCCTATAATTTTGTGCAAAATACTGCATTCGATGTATGGCTTTCTACAGCTTAAAAGGTAATATCATATTATTTATTTCAAATAACATCTGAACATTTGAGTCCACCTCAAAAAAAATATTAATTTCCAACTAATTTTCGCTTCTTGGTGATTCATTGTGAGCCCAAGGAAGGACAAAATAATATAAAGAATATAGTTTCTTGATCTTAATTTATATAAAATGCTGTGAAAATCTACCTGCTGAATATGTATGAAATTTTTATTTTCCAGTTAGTCCACATGGTTTTCGCTTGAATAAGAAATTATGCCGATACTGCCCAGTATGCACTTCTTAGAACTAAAAATTGCTGAAACATTATTTTGAAGATATTTGAAAAAAAAAGCGGATGCCATAAAGCAAATTTTCATTCTTTCAAAATCAAAGCAATTTTTTCTGTAACGTGTTTCCTATAAATTTTTAAAGGTACATTCATCTAATAGATCTACAACTTGAAATATGTTATTCATTATGATTCACAAAGAATCTCATTTTTCAAAGAATTTCTGATTTACTCTCAGTCCTGAAATCGTAATTAATAATCAATCAGCTGAAAAAGATCCGAGTAATCTTTAATAGTTAAAATACTTGAACGTGATCAGATTTACTCTTTCAATAAAGTTCATTTTAAAATATAGAATGTAGCTAATGAGAAAATACTAAAATTGCACAACGCGGAAAGCTTTAAAATAAATTCCTCTGTTTATTAAATTTTTAATATTTAAATGATGTTTCTGATTTATCCACAAATGAATTTCTTCAAATAGTATGTCCAGACAGAGCTTCACAGAATGCATGTTTTGACTAAAATTTTTAGTATCTTTAAAAATAATTCTTTCTGGGTATCAGTATAAGAATTGAACAAAATGGTTTTTTCGATTAAAAAAGATTAAAATATGAATTTAATTAAAAATTTAAAAGAATGAATGTATTGACAGAATGACCTGCCACTGGAGTTGGGAAAATAAAATAGTATCAACAGATGTCATCAGATTAAGGAAAAATATACAAGTACAAAATAACAATTTATAAAAGGTTCTGTTTCAAACTGGTAGTTGCTTTTCATTAATTGCCATAAAATCTTTTTAGTATGAAGAATTGAATACTGGTCTTTAATGCACAACATTTTAATTTTATATCTGCGCTAATATATTCAATTCACTTTCACTCTCTAATCTTTAGTCTCCCCCTACATATGCAGCTGGGCTCTACGTGCAACCAAATTTGCTAAACGAACAACACATTAATATCACTATAAGTAGTCAGCATCAGAATAGTAAGGCTTTGTTAGGTATAAAATGTTAACAAGGAAATAAATTTATTCAGCATTTAAAATAAGGTTCAGAGGATTTGCAATTAGATTTTACCATGGTGCTTTAATATGACAAAGAAAGAGAGCTTCGTCTAATTGCTTTGATGTTTTCAAGTGTTCTTGCAATCATATCACACAGTTCTTCAATACATTTTTAATTTTCTTTCTTACCTATACAGTGTTTGCTTAATAGAAAACAGAAAAATCTAGACTAATGAACCGTGAATCATTTTAATGTACAGGTGATTGTTATAGAATAATATAATATCTAAATAAAAATTAATAACAATTTATGCAATAAATGAAACTGAAATAATAATTAATTTAATTAATGAAATATCAATTTAAATTAAATTCTGAAGTATAAATAATACTCACGTATAAATATTAAATTATTTTGCTAGGTTTGATAATAATAATAATAAAAAAAAGAGAAGCAGTAGAAATATTAAAAAGTTTAAAATAAATTATTTTTCTAAGATTGTGCGGGTCATCCTATCTTACTAAAATGTAGTCTATTTACAATCGCGACATGATAGTTTTATTCTAATAAAAATTGAACATAAACAAGCTCAAATTTGATACAAAGCAAACATTAATATATATATATAATTTATTTCCTAAACAATATTGATTAATTGATTATATTATCTCCTAATTAAAGTAGAATTATTTTAAAAGAGTGAATCCATATCAGTTATATTTTGAAAGATATTGTGAAGTAACTTGAAAGTAAAATGTTAATTATGTTTTAACGGGGACTGGAATTAAATCATCATGAAGAACAAAATTTCAATTGTAAAAGGAAAAATTAAATGCATGTAATCATTGTCATTGATCGGAAATTAGTTGACTTTTCAAGTAGACGTTTTTTCGGAATTCCCTACAGAAATTGCTTTTCACTCAGAATTGAATTGGCTAAAATGCTTCATAGGAATATGTTTTTTGAGTATCAGCATTGGTTCATAATCCCTTCTATTCGCGGTAATATTTGGCCTGACTAGAATCGCCGGTTTGGCTTAACCTTATTACTCGAGTAAAGACGAAACACCTTCGTATTTACGTATTTATTTATTAATTATTGTTCATTGACCGGGAGTTGGTTTGTTCCCCTTGAAAAGTCAACTAATTTCCGATCAATGACAATGATTACATGCATTTACTTTAATTTTTCATTTTACAATTGAAATTTTATTCTTCATGATGATTTAATTCCAGTCCCCGTTAAAACATTATTAACATTTTACTTTCAAGTTACTTCAAAACATCTTTCAAAATATAACTTACTAATATGGATTCACTCTTTTAAAATAATTCTACTTTAATTAAACTTAGGAGATAATATAATCAATTAATCAGTATTGTTTAGGAAATAAATTATTATTAAATTACGTACTTTGCAGCAATTGCGCAAGTAGTAGTAACTCGTTTTCGCACTAAATGAATTTAAGATCATACAACTTATATATAATAGTAAGAAAGTAAAGAATAAAAGTAAAAGATTTATTCTATATATATATATATATATATATATAGAATAAATCTTTACTTTTTCGATGATGGAAGTCAGACGATTCCGCCATTAAGACGATGAGGCGACTGAAAGATGTTTACATGTAAAAGACGGCCGATTCTCTTCATCTGTAAATATCATCTATGTAAATTAATCCTTCTACACATGTAATCATTTTGTAGTTTGTAGTAACTATTCATGGTTCCATTAAATATTGAAGTTATTTGTAAATTGGACTAGTTTATTAGCCCCTAGACAGCCACAAAAGTAGTAAGTTTACAGACATCATATTCCTTGATAGTAAGTACCGATTCTACATATATCAACTTTTCTTCATTTTTTTTTTCTAATTTGAAATTTTTAAACATTTTTAGTTAATTTCTACTTTGAAATTTTAAATAATTTTAGTTTTTTTTCTTTCATTTAAAGAGCATATTATGAAAATCATAAAATTATTATTTTAAACATCTTGACAAAAATTGCTATATTTAATAAACTTAGCATTTAGTGTGTCTAAATTAAAAATTATGTTACCTTCTATATCAGTACTCTTCAATACTGTATCATCGTCTCGTAGCCAAGAATCAAGTGTCACATATTCTCTGACGAATGACGGCAAAAGACACCTCAACACAGCTGTGTTACCTCGGATTGCATAATCGTCATAAACTTGAGGTATGAACTTTTGATGAACAACTGAAAAAAATATAATGAACTGCATTATATTTTATAGAAAATTACATGAAATAAAATTAATGCTTATTAAAAATATTTCAAGACGGTAAATCTAAAGCAAATGCAGTGTGATATAACAAAATGCATGTGTAAATTCTATGAAATTATCATCTTGAAATGTTACCAAATTTAAACACTTAATAATTCATTTAAGATGCAAAACAAATTTGGTATTTTAAGCTAAGTAAAAAAAATCGGCACAATATGCATTAAATTTATCTACAAAGTCGATCAGTGTAACTAATAGCGTTACCCGAAAAAAGAAATTCATATTTGTTGCAATGTTTCGTCTAGAGGGCGCTGTTGCGCTGAAAGAATTCTTTCTGTACATTTATATTATGTAACTGTCGGTTCGCCGTTGCGATGCTGCTGTATTACTGTGATATATCTTGTCGGTGCTTCTATAAAATAGAAACGAAATGTCGTCATCCATTTTGTGTACCAAATCAAGAATCATCAAATTACCACCATTGCAAACTACTCGAAACCAAAGTAGCTTTCGTATGAGAATCTTCAAGCGTTGTATTCTCCTTTCGAAATTCGCATTCGTATAGTATGGTTCGTTATACATCTAAATAATTTGATTAAAGATGTAAACGTAATGTGAAAAAAAAAAAAAAAAAAAAAAAAGAACTTATTTTCAACTCATGAGTTAAGAATATGTTAAAAGAGAAAATTGGTTTTAAGCCCAAAGGAACGTTAGTTAAGAAGGGCTATTAGTCTCGAAACGGTGTCGGTTCACTATAAACGGCGTATCACTTTTTAAATTACTGAAACCAAATATTATCGCACTACATTATATTTAAAGAAATTAAGTAATGAAGAATCTGTATGAATATATCTGCGTTTCTCGCACTATGAAAAAACGACAGTACCTAAAGCCAACAAATATTGAATAACGTAGTCCTCCACTCGAATACGATTATCTGGAACCCCAGATTTGTAATTTAAAATTGTTTTATTATCTATCTCATAATTTGTAAAACTTTAACGAATTTTTGATTAACAAACTCAACGGTGCGCAAGACCGTCTGTCGGAAATACTAAATATGTGCTGTTTTTAAATATTTTTTGATATTGCTGTTGAGTTGAATTTTATGGGATAATATTATGAGTAAGAACAACGTTATATTTAATAAGTAAAGGTGACGCACAAAACACTAGAAAAGACCCTTTTAGACGTAATATAAAATCTGAAATCTTTCAGAATTTTTAAAATTTTTATGTTTTTAATTGTTATAATTTTATTTAAATAATACAAGTGCGGTCTTATAACTCCTTAATGCAGGAGTCGAGGAAGAAATCATCTCATCTTTAATTATGAAGGAGAGTTATACCAATCAATCTGCAGAAATAACGTAAAATTTGCACAAAAAATTATGAAAGCTTTCATATTTTATATAACGACCAGCATTTGAGCATTTACAGAGCATTTGGGCTAAAAATGTTTAAAAACAGCCTATCTTTAGAATATCCGAGTAGAGTTTCGCTCGCTGGAGATAAAAAATTTTTTTTGGGGGGAGGGGGAGTATAGTGTTGCCATTGCTCGCAAAATTATATGGTGAATCTGCAGCTGCTTTTAGTGACCAAATATCATCCATCTATTACGTATTCTATCTGCATGCCAGCAATATCTATAACCATCTCAGCCATGACAAAAAATAATTGGTGTCTTCTGTCCTACGTATCCTAGAATATAAGATCTCCCTCTCTCTCTGCATGTATTATACATACACACATATGTAAAAGTAAGCAAGTTATAAAATACCAAACTGTTACAATCTGCAAAATTACAAAGCTTATTTTCGCAAATCCAGCAACTCTTCCAAAACATGATCATGAGATATAATGAGATCTCATGATGCGAGCTTGAAGAGATGTGCTCGTGCAGTTTTCAGCAAAATTTCTGCTTAAGAATAGTTTAAAAAATATTGTTAACACTCCATGACATGCTAAGATAATCAGTATATATTGGCAATGTTCAATATTTCTTCTACCAACCAAAAAAAATAAAATAAATTATGACTTTGATTATTATAGATAAGCATAAAACTTTTATTTCGAACGTTTGTCAAGTGTAATGTTCTGAGCCTTTTCTGAGTTGTCTTTCACGAGTAAAAGTACTATTTATTATCAAGCACTGGGACTTTCACTAAATCACTTCATTGTTACACATGTAACTCTAATCTACTGTATGCATAACACAGCTGCGCAATTCAGTAATTCTGAATGCATATATGTTATTAACAACGGTTGCACAAAACATCCTACGCAATTCATTTGATGAAATGCCAATTAGATGCGCCCGTAAAATCGACAGAAAATATTGAATATTAATTTCCCTAACACGTTATTACCATGGATTTGAAACGCACCAATACCATTAATGCCCTTTCGCTATGGCATTTTAACATGCAGGCCGCGTTTCACTTTTACTAGAAACTGTTATTAGCCGAAATAGCTTCAAAGTGCTGCTACCATTTATTATGTGGAACTATAATTTAGTCAAAGTTGCCTCGGGGGGAATATTTATTCCGAGAGGTTTAATTTTCCCTTCCCTGGAAGCAATGGGGAAGATTCTCTTCAGTCGGAAAGGACCGATAACCTGCAAATGATTAAACATGCAAATGCTACATTTTATTAAAAGAGAAAGATTCTCTTTGGGAGGCAATTTCCTTGCAACTAATGGGGTTTGAAAGTTTATTCGTTAATGCGAACAAATTCTTTTATGCTGTTCTTAGTGCTAGATGGAGATATTTATGTATTTACAAATACACTTTTAGTTCTCTCAATTAATGAATCAGATAAAAGTCAATGATGAAAGAATTTCAAATTTTAGAATTGAATTTAATTTACTTTCCGCCGAAGGGGAAAATACTTGCCTTTAAATTCAGAAAAACGAAAGAAATAAGTAAATGTTGGCGGTATGAAGACAAAGAACGCTATGGACATGAAAATAAATGAACCTTTTCTATTCAAATATATGAAATAAATGAATAATTAATGCTGAAATGATTATTTATACATCTTAAACTTCATTGATTGCCTTTTGATGTTTATAAAGAATGCAGGAAAAATAAGAACCTATTTTTTCCTATTTTGTAATGTAAGAAAATAGGGCAAATCAGAGCACACTGAGATGGAATCTGTTTCAATCAACATTAATTTTTGTTGCCCGTTCTTTCTTCTTATCCTATTAATTATCAGAGGATCTTAATCAGATTATGAATCTGCAATGCACAAGGGATCCTATTGAACTTTTCTTCAGTTCTATTCCATTATAAATACAGAATATCTCGGGCGATGGATCTAAGGAACTGCCATTCGTTCCCTTTTATTTTCGGTTCGATAGTACTGTAAGTGTCTCAATGATTCAAAGATATTTACAATTATCCATAGCCATCTTCGAACTTAAATCCTGTTCCAATCAATGACAAAAATAGATTCCAGCAAGTCGTTTGCGTGTTCGAGGACAGATAGCTTCATGTGGCAACACATGCAGGCAGGTGGGCGCACCTGAATATATTCCTACCTATACAAGAACACTACATCCTGCATAGGTAGCCCTTTCTCATAGGTTAGACGGAAGATATCGACTGCGCTTCTTCACATATATAAAAACGTCGAGAATCGCTCATTAAAATAAATTTGGACTCATCACCGAACAGAACCACGGCCAACTGGATATAACTGGATGTCTATTCACGAAGGTCACGACAGAACAGACCTCCACTGATTTTTAGACCGGCTTACACAACTACATGCCCGATTCCCTCCGCTCCTTCCAATGGCGGGAGGTAAACGAGAGGCACAAACTTGTTGCCTAGCATACAGTTCTCGTTCCTGCAGCCTCCTGCAGTAAACAAATCTCGGGGTGGATGCTGTCTTTCCTGCAGCAGAAATAAGTGCAAATCTAAGCTGAAATGGAATTGTAATCCCATTGCGACGTGCGCTAAATCGCATAGTTAACTGCAGATATAGTAACTCTTGGCTTACCTTTTGGTAGGTTAGCTTAGGTTAGGTTATTTAATTACAGCAAAGCCTCGAGAGCTATCTGCCTAAGGGGAGGAATGCCTTCATGGAGGACTTTCTAAGGAAAATTGGCTCGTATACACACATGGGAAAACCACGAAAACACCCATGCAACTAGCCTGTTCGCGGGATTCGAACCTCGGACCGAACTACCAGTGTTCAGCGACTTTACCGTTCGGCCGCTGGTGGGCCCATTGGTAGATCTTCGAGAAACTGAATCAGTAGTTAAAAATTGATTTTATAACTGATGTCGTTTAGCCATCTTGCAACGTTAAACAATCTCTGATTTATTTCTAATCGTCCTGTGGAAATATAATGTAATTCTGTTGGCAAATTACTCCTCAAACTTACTTTTAAACTTCGGATATCCTGAAATTGTTTAATATATTGTCGTTTATTGAATAGTCATTCTCTCCCAAACAGCTGGTTTTAAGTTGTGTCGTATGTAGGTAAAACGACAGCAGCGTCATTCTTTTGTGTAACACTATTTGATGCTGTTTGCGTTTATTTGAAGCAAATTCAAAGTTCAAGTTCGAAAGATTTCAAGTTCAAGATTCAAATTTTAAATTTGAAATATAGTTTAAGCCCATTTATCAATATTGTTCAATTTTTCAAACTAAGTATATGTAATATGAAACTTTGGCATCTATTTATATATATACAAGAAACAATGAGGAAAATTCGGAAGTGAATTTCAGTGAATAAATTTGTATTGCGCAATGTAAAGGAAAAGCCACCAAGGCCTTGAAGCATTAAAAAATGCACAACTGAAATACATAAAACTTGGATCGTGAACATATATAGGTTAGAAGGTTTCTTTTCCATTAATATTTCCTATGATAAATTTAATTATCTTAACAGACTATATAAGCAATTTTAATTTTCATATACTCATATTATTAATTGTGTAAATCTGATTTTTATGTGTA